GGGATCACTCTATTTTTTAATAACAAAATTCTATTTAAATATTAACATACCATGAATATGTAACCTTAAAAATTGAACAAAAATTATATAAAATTAAATGTTAATTAGAATTTACCAAGAAAAATGTCCAATCATCATTAACGGCAAAATTCCATTATCGGGATTATTCGTAATGTAAGTATAAGTAATACCTTCTAATGTATTTATCATTGAAATGATAAATACTTGAAGAAAGACCTTAAAATATTACAAATTTAATATACCGTATTTTCTCTAAAATAGCCCCCCCCCCTCTCTAAAATAACCCCCCTCTAGAAGTCGATCAAAAAAAAATAACCCCCCCCCCCTCTAAAATAGCCCCCCTCTAGAAGTCGATCAAAAAAAAATAACCCCCCCCCCCTCTAAAATAACCCCCCCCCCTCCCATAAAATATTTAATTATTTTTTGGCATTGATATTTTTTAAAGCACAGCAATGTTTAATCCTTATATTTAAATAAAATTAGAAATGATTATGGGGGATATCGAGGATTTGAAGGTATATAAGGGGATTATGATGGATTAAGGGATAGCGGTGGATTAATATGATTCGAGGATTTAGAGAAATATTAGGTATTATGAGGGAATTTGTAATTAAGAGATATGAATCAAAAAAGATATTTTTCCACTTTTATTCAATTATTATCCGATATCCTCTCAAATCTCTGATATCTCGAATCATATTAATCCATCGCTCCACATTAATGCCCTCAAATTGGATTTTGAGAGGTCCACTATAATCTCTGTTACTTCCTAAATCTCTTAATATTCAACCTAATCCTCTAACATTTCCCCATCTTAATCCAATCCCTTTTAATATTATTAACGTTGGGACTTAACTGAGATGTATACAAGTGGGATAATAATCTAAGATAAATTCTTAATTGGGTATTTTGAAAACTAAACGGAGTCTTAGATGAATTTAAGGACTGAGGAGTACTTGATGGAAGTTTGTGGGCTATGATTTTCGTTAAGAGACTTAGTTTGTGATGAATTCTATTAAATTTTAGAAAAATTTTGTTCGAAGTTTGGTAACAAATTTTAGTCTTCAAAAATTTTAGACATCGAAAAAAATAACCCCCCCCCTCTAAAATAGCCCCCCTCTGGAGGTCGATCGAAAAAAATAACCCCCGGGGCTATTTTAGAGAAAATACGGTATTATTCAACCCTAATTTTAGATAAAAACACCTCTATCTAATCTAACGTGCCTGTCGAATTATACCCCCACCCTCGCTTACCTCCTCTATCAATAGGTCATTATGCATAATGTAAGTATAAGTGTGCGGAAAATATTTTTTTTTAAAAACGTTTACTGCCCAAATCACACACTGCCCATTTAACCACTGCTCACGTCACTTCTGCCGAAATCACCAGACACGTTTACAACCTTCCTATTATCTAAAAGTGAGTTATAATAAAATTTTAACCATTTTCTCCTCTTTAGTAACACTATCAATTAATTCACGGGTTTTGAAGAAAAATATTAGAGAAAAAATCAAATAAACTATAGGGGAACCAGCAGCCAATATTGTATTGTGTATAGCTTCTTCACTCAAATCTTCTTTGAACTAAAAATATATATTTTTAAAGTAAAATCAACTAAATTTAAATTACTAATTCCATTCTAAAATCTCTATATCCAGTTAATGGTTCATAGTTGAGTCCAAAATTTATTCCATTAAAAATAGGAGGATGTCTAAATAAAAGCCAATAAAGTCCATATAAATTACTAAAAATAATCCAAATATAGACACGATTATTGTGAAAAAGTTTTTTTGAAATTTTTGGAAATGCCATTTCGATACAACGATTTATTCCCAAAATCTAGAAGAATATTAATTTTTAGCAATTTTTAATTTATTTATGAAACCAAATCAGCAGAACATTCAGCGGTATATATATCTAAATATTATTATATCTAAATAAATATGAAGAAAATTTGTCTTTTGTGAAAATTTATCTTCTTGGGATCCAAATTTTCGGACTGCCTGATTTCTAGAGATGTGCGAGACCGAAATTTTTCCAAGACTCAAGACTCAAGACCCAAGACAAAATTTTTTCCAAGACCAAGACACAAGACCAAGACCAAAACTCCAAGACTCAAGACCAAAAATCAAGACCAAATTTTTAAATCCCATAGGTCAAATTTTTGGTTTATTTTTTGTTATTTTGATACGATCACAGTCAACTTCAGCACAATTATCTATAATTTCGAAAAATTTATGCGAAATTCAAAGAATTTCGGGGAATTTATTTTGTGGAAAATCAATAAAATAGGTTATTATTTCAGAGGGTTTGGGTGGATTAACGGGATATTAGTGATATCAAAAGATTAAGAGGGATAGCCGTGGGATTTAGCACCGCAGGCGAAAATTTTGGGAATTACAAAAGCAAAGAAGCCAAAAATCTTCTTTTTCCAGCGCCGCAGGCAAAAATTTTGAAAATTTTCGAAGGCCGTAGGCCAAAAAAATTCACATTTTCAGCGCCGCAGGCGAAAATTTTTTGAATTTAGGAGCTCAAGAAGCCAGATTCTTCCATTTTCTGCGCCGCAGGCGAAAATTTTGAGGATTTTGGATGGCCAAGCACTAGGTCCAAAATGCCAAAAAACCAAGACCAAAAAATAAAACCAAGACAAGACCAAGACAAACACCCCAAGACCAAGACCAAGACCGAAAAAAAACCAAGAAAAGTCTTGGTTCCAAGACCAAGACCAAGAGTCTCGCACATCTCTACTGATTTCCACTATTGCTCCGGAAGTTCCGGTTCGAACCAAGAAATTAGATCAGGTTCCGACCATTTTGGCGTTCCGACGCAAACAACACTACCGCGTGTTGCCTCCCCTGAAAATTATTCCAGAGACACTATATGTCAACAGACAATCTTTACTGCTCTAATACATATATCGGTTTCAGACCGGATATCCGAGCTTTTAGATGTTTAGTGTATTTGTCTGGTATTAATCTGCTTATTAACTCTCATATTTCAACACTTACATACAACAACACATCCAACGAAGTAGGTAAATATTGGTGAAGAACAGTAGACAACCCCGTTTAAACTAAGAATTCCGAATGAAAAAGTTGGTATCCAAAGTATACAAATGTCCAAAATTGAAAGATAAATTAGCAGTAAATAGCAGGGATTTTTGCTTCGATTTTTCCAAAAAGAGTAGAGACAAGGGAAATATAAAGGCTTAAATTTAAATTAAAAAAAAATTTTTAATTCAAAAAATCTACATAATATATAAATCCAAGTATTATACAAATAATTGCAGTTATTGGATATCTTCTTTTTTCAATAGGGACATCATCTACATTAATTCCTGTACAATTATAAATAATGTCAAATTCTTTCCGATTCCACAAAATATATTCCATTATATAAAATTAATTTTTCGAAATGCTAGTAAATTTAAATACTATAAAATAAACATTCGAGAGGGAAAAAAGTAGCCCCCTCTTTTTATAATTTTTGCCAAAAATTTACCGTTTTTACAACAACAAAAACCGAAAACTTATGAAAATGTTTAAAATAAAACCGGTATTTGTCTAAAACTCAAAACCAAAAATCGAGTTAACCGAGTCGAGTTAACCTTTTAAGTATGATTAATAAAATATTTTATTCATTTTGTAAATTATTTACTAATTTTTTTACGATTTTCTGTTGGTTACTTGATAAAAATCTGTCTATTTTTAATCTATCACTAAGTGCCTTGGTCTTGGTCCGGGCTATATGTATGTAACTTTAATTTTAATAATCTTAATGAAGAAAAGTTTTGAAGTAAATTTAATTTTTCTAAAGTTTGTTGATAAAATTAAAAAAAAATAAAAGAAAAATAGAAGAAATAATGAGCAAAGTCAAAAAATTACTGTAAAAATTAGTGTAGCACAAAGCCCGTTATTTATTAATAGAAAATACAATGTTTGCCGTCTGGTTTTCCGGTTTTTAATAAAAAAGCTTTATTTAATAAAAACCAAAAAAAATGTTAAAAAATCAAATTAAATCTGCTTATCACACCAATATTGGCAGTTTCATCGTCTTCGACTGTTTGTAGTTCAAAATCATCACCCTCAATTGTTGGACTGTTAAATAGTGCCTCGTCCCTTGTACCTGCGTAATTTTTTACATACTCTAATTTTTCCTTTCTTCACCGCTGGAGGCGAAAATTTTGAGAATTTTGTAGGCCTTATGAGAAAAAATGTGTTTGTCAGAGCCGCCGACGCAAATTTTTCTTAAGGTTTAGATGGTCATGAAGCCATAACTCTTAAAGTTTCTGCGGCAACCGTAAAATTACTGAAAAATTCACACAAATTCCCACAATATTTTAATTAAAAGCTCGTTCTCCCACACACTTTAAAATTTATTTAAAAATATTTACATTTACCAGTCTAAGCATATTAACATTGTACACTTTTTTTTGAACGCACTATGAGACATTAAAATATTTTTTAAATTAGTCCAACCGTCACGGCATTTTTTAATAATTACATAATAACTAGCTTCATTTCTTGGGTTTTCAAAATTCTCATTATTTTCGCCTGCGGTGCTGAAAATGTGTATATTTTTCGACATTTTTTCACTTTTAAGTGTCGTTTGGCTGATTACTGCCTAAAAATCAAAAAATTTCCACCAGCCTTGCTGAAAGTTTAATTCTTGATTCTTTAGTAAAACCCCGACATGCCCGACCCCGAAGGGTCGGGTTACCACCCTGATTAATAGGGTTGTTCAATACCGGTTATTAACCGGTATGCACGGTTTTCGGTTAATCCAAATTTTATTAACTCGGTTAACTCGATTTTTGGTTTTGAGTTTTAGACAAATACCGGTTTTATTTTAAACATTTTCATAAGTTTTCGGTTTTTGTTGTTGTAAAAACGGTAAATTTTTGGCAAAAATTATAAAAAGAGGGCGCTACTTTTTTCCCTCTCGAATGTTTATTTTATAGTATTTAAATTTACTAGCATTTCGAAAAATTAATTTTATATAATGGAATATATTTTGTGGAATCGAAAAGAATTTGACATTATTTATAATTGTACAGGAATTAATGTAGATGATGTCCCTATTGAAAAAAGAAGATATCCAATAACTGCAATTATTTGTATAATACTTGGATTTATATATTATGTAGATTTTTTGAATTAAAAATTTTATTTCTAAATTTAAAATTTAAGCCTTTATATTTCCCTTGTATCTACTCTTTTTGGAAAAATAGAAACAAAAATCCTTGCTATTTACTGTTAATTTATCTCTCAATTTTGGATATTTGTATTCTTTGGGTACCAACTTTTGCATTTGGAATTTTTAGCTTGAACGGGGTTGTCTACTGTTCTTCACCATTATATACCTATTGTGTTGGATGTATTAGCGTATCTACTCTTTTTGGAAAAATAGAAATTTTAGCTTGAACGGGGTTGTCTACTGTTCTTCACCATTATGGGGCTAAAAGATTAATAATTAAAAACACAAGCATACAAAAGGGTCGTTAGGAAATCCAGAATCAAAATATTTATTAAAGAAAGGAAGATTGTCTGTTGACTGAGAGGGTCTTGGGAATAATTTTTGTTGAATGCAAAACCACTATTTTTGATAAATAAAGTAGTAGATTTGTTGTTTTGTAGTGTCTTGGTGATATTGAGAGTTTGAAAGGAAGATATAGAGAGATTTCCCGACAACTGGTCGAAAAGGTTCCTGTATACATAGAGTTTTTTTAATGTCTCATAGTGCGTTCAAAAAAAAGTGTACAATGTTAATATGCTTAGACTGGTAAATGTAAATATTTTTAAATAAATTTTAAAGTGTGTGGGAGAACGAGCTTTTAATTAAAATATTGTGGGAATTTGTGTGAATTTTTCAGTAATTTTACGGTTGCCGCAGAAACTTTAAGAGTTATGGCTTCATGACCATCTAAACCTTAAGAAAAATTTGCGTCGGCGGCTCTGACAAACACATTTTTTCTCATAAGGCCTACAAAATTCTCAAAATTTTCGCCTCCAGCGGTGAAGAAAGGAAAAATTAGAGTATGTAAAAAATTACGCAGGTACAAGGGACGAGGCACTATTTAACAGTCCAACAATTGAGGGTGATGATTTTGAACTACAAACAGTCGAAGACGATGAAACTGCCAATATTGGTGTGATAAGCAGATTTAATTTGATTTTTTAACATTTTTTTTGGTTTTTATTAAATAAAGCTTTTTTATTAAAAACCGGAAAACCAGACGGCAAACATTGTATTTTCTATTAATAAATAACGGGCTTTGTGCTACACTAATTTTTACAGTAATTTTTTGACTTTGCTCATTATTTCTTCTATTTTTCTTTTATTTTTTTTTAATTTTATCAACAAACTTTAGAAAAATTAAATTTACTTCAAAACTTTTCTTCATTAAGATTATTAAAATTAAAGTTACATACATATAGCCCGGACCAAGACCAAGGCACTTAGTGATAGATTAAAAATAGACAGATTTTTATCAAGTAACCAACAGAAAATCGTAAAAAAATTAGTAAATAATTTACAAAATGAATAAAATATTTTATTAATCATACTTAAAAGTAGCTAGATAATCGGTAATAATGAGTATATTAATAGGTATATTTTACAAAATACACAACAGAGTGTACAGCAGGAATGGGACGGGTTGAGAAAAATGTCGGGTTTTCAAAGTTTTTCTCGGATCGGGTTCTGGGTCGAAAAATAAGTCTAGGTATCGGGGTTCTGGTATCCAAAAAATGTCCAGTTCGCTATCAACCTGTCCACAAAGCTTTTTTTAATTTGCTTTCGCGTTTCGCGTTTCACTTTTTAAAATCCGTTTCGGCACACCCCTGTATGCTATCCAGTTTCCTTCCCTCTCTACATTTTATGTGTACTTGCTGCCCATTTTTCATACCTACTATCCAGTATACAGTTTTTCACTAAGAAGAGAAATAATAATGATAAAGTAAAGACATTTAGGTAGTTTATAAATAATTTTTGGTTCGATATCAAGTAGCTGATCATCGAAAAATTTGGATATTAATTTTTTCTTCAGAAAAAAATATTACACATTAATTATGTAAACAGAAAACCACCTATAAGTTGCCTAGTTATTAAATACAAATTTTTGTATTCTACCCGTAACTCTTGACAACCTCTAACTTTTTTTATGATTATGAATTTTGCCAGAAAACAGGCAACTCTCTTAGTATCATTAAGAAAATTTTAATAATTATTTAATAATTTTAACCAAATGGGGAGTTATTATTTATGTTTAATCTAAGTACAAAAAGCAAAGAAAAGTGCGCGTTCACCCTTTACGTACAGGCGGATAGCGAACTGGACATTTGCTCTGGTAACCCGTCCCATCCCTGGTGTGCAGTTTCGCCTTTCGCCAAATTTTCGCCTTCTTGATGATTTATCTTTCGTATTTCGCTTTTTCAGACCCCTATGTACAACATATTTACATCATCCATTTTGGGCAGGTCCAACAATAGTTACAACTTGATTTTGATTTTTCTTTAATAAACTAAGAAATTTTCCAAGTAGAATTTTTGTGTCAGTCCGAACAGTTTTGTTTAATGTTAAGTATATTACTGGTGGGAATCCTATAAAAAAATTAAAAATATTTAAATTTGCTTTTTAATCAGGGTGACCCTTTTCTACCGTGCCTCTCTCAAATTAAATCTCCAACAGGAGCATGTAGAAAAAAGGGATAGAAAAGGGGCAAGAAGTGTCAAACTGGGGGAAATTTCCAAATGAAGTAAAATGGCTCCCCCTGTTTTTAATAACAAAATTTATTTTTGATTAACATACCATGAATATGTAACCTTAAAAATTAAATAAAAATTAGGTATATAAAACTAAATGTTAATTAGAATTTACCAAGAAAAATGGCCAATCATCAATGGCAAAATTCCAAGATCTGAATGATTTATATTGTAAGAATAAACAATACCTGTTGATGTATTGAACATTGAAATGATAAATACTTGAAGAAAGACCTTAAAATTATTTTAATTTAATATAATATTCAATCCCGATTTTATATAAGAACACCTCTATCTAATCTACCGTGCCTCTTTAAAATTATACCCCCTCTCGATTAGTTACCTTCTCAAGCAAATAGGTAGGTTGAAACGATAATTACCCATCATTTAAAAGTAGGGTAGTGAACCGGAACCGGTCGGTTCCGGTTCCGGAAGTGGAACTGGTAAAAGTCCGGAACCAGTTTGGAACCGGAACCGTGAAACCGGCAAAGGTCCAGAATCGGTTTAGAACCGGTTCCGGAACCGGTTTCAAAGATATACCCCTAATGATGGGCGAAAGGAAAGGTCGGGTCTCGATATCTGGTCAAATCTTGCATATCGATCTCGATTGTGCCAATATCGACAAATCTCTATATCGAATTTTTCCTAAAGTATCGATATCGCCTACTCTACTAAAAGTGAGGTATAATAAAATTTTAACCATTTTCTCCTCTTTCGATACACTATCAATTAATTCACGGGTTTTGAAGAAAACACAAAGTGAAAAAATCAAATAAATTATTGGAGAACCAACAGCCAATATTGTGTTGTGTATGGTAAATTCTCTCAAATCTTCATTGAGCTGCAAATATTAAAATTACAAATTTTAACATTTAAATTTTACTAATTCAATTCTAAAATCTCTATATCTAAGTAATGGTTCAAAGGAAGTTTCATAAGTTATTCCGTTAAAAATATAAGGATGTCGGAATAAAAGCCAATAAAGTCCATATAAATTACTAAAAATAATCCAGATATAGACACGATTATTGTGAAAAAGTTTTTTTGAAATTGATGGAAATGTCAGTTCCATACAACGATTTATTCCCAAAATCTAAAAAATATTAATTTTTAGCAATTTTTAATTTATTTATTAGACCAAATCAGCAGAACATTCAGCGGCCCATAAATCTGAAAAATATCTTAATAAATATAGTGAGAGATGTAAAAGGTTATGTCCGAGGGTTGCCTTAGATTTATAATGTGGACGTGTTCAAAAATAACGTTTCTCGCAACAGAATGTTACAACTAGGCGTAGGGATTGAGGCTCGAACAAGTAAATGAGATCAGGGACTTTCCAGAACTGAAGTTTAGTACACCGGAGGGAAAATTTCGATACAAAACACATGCCATTGTTCGTGTCACAAGTTCGTTTCGACGGGTCTTTAAAATTAAAAATCTATAGGAGGAATTAGGCTGATTTTTGGAGCGAAAAATTCGAATATACAAATAATAGTTTATTCGAAAATCTCGACGAGCTGGGTATTGTTTTTTATTAACCCCCTTAAAGCCATGAGTGAAAAAAAGCGGAAGGGTTAAAAAGAGCGAGAACTGTGGAAGGCATAGGCGGAAGATAACATAGCATGTAATGATTAAACGGATATTTTTTTATTATTTAGTTATAATTTATTTTCACTTACATAAACCAATACAACCAACAAAGTATGTATATACAGGTGAAGAACAGTAGACAACCCCGTTTAAACTGAGAATTCCAAATGAAAAAGTTGGTATCCAAAGCATACAAATATCCAAAATTGAGAGATAAATTAACAGCAAGTAGCAGGGATTTTTGGCTCTATTTTTCCAGAAAGAGTAGAGACAAGGGAAATATAAAGGCTTAAATTTAAATTTAAAAAAAATTTTTAATTCAAAAAATCTACATAATATATAAATCCAAGTATTATACAAATAATTGCAGTTATTGGATATCTTCTTTTTTCAATAGGAACATCATCTACATTAATTCCTGTACAATTATAAACAATGTCAAATTCTTTACGATTCCACAAAATATATTCCATTATATAAAAATTTTTTTTGGAAATCTATTAAATTGAAGTATTTTTTAGTCGAACCACACTATAAAATAAACATTAGGGATAGAGAAAAGCACACTCCTTAGATACTTTGACAACTTCAGTTCCCGATCGGTTGGTTTTGTCAGCAGGTTTTTTTCGGTCTTTATGTACCAGGATACCTAGCAGGGCTGAGCTTATTTCTCATTTCGCATTTTGGTCCGAATACGATATTTGTTTCGCCTTTTTCATCTACATTTACGTGCCGATCATACCTCCCCGATTCCCGAAACTTGGAATTCCCATTGTTTTTTGTGGCGGGATTAAATTGAGCTCTAGAAATGGCCGATCCGGATATTTGGATTCGAAAAAGCTAGGATATATAGAAATTTTAGTGTGTGGTTAGTGGTGTGTGTAAGGACAACTTTTTTTCATTGAGGCCCAACTTTAATAAATTTTTACAATGAAACTAAGTGCAATTTAATAAATTAAATTTTTAATATTAAATTGAAATAAAAGGCAAAAAAAATTTTTCATAATTAATAATTTAAAAAAACTTTGTTTAAAAACTTTTTAATAATTTCTGTTTACAATTTAAATATTTAAAAATATTTAATTGGCAGGTGAATAATTTTGGCACAATTAAAACAATAATTTCAATAAGAATTCTTGTCTGTTGAATATAGTATAATTATTTTAAACTTTATATTATTTAAACTTCATATTCACCTGCCAATTAATCATAAAAAAGCGGAAAATGTTTTTAAATATTTAAATTGTAAACAGAAATTAATTAAAAAGTTTTTAAACAAATTTTTTTTTAAATTATTAATTATGAAAATTTTTTCGTTTATTGCTATTTAATATTAAAAAATTTAATTATAATATTAAATACATATACCGTAAAACTTCTAATAGAAGCA